CTATAATAAATAAAATTATAATTTTCATTTACCACCCTTTTGGCAAACACTGTCTTATTTTAATTTTATTAATTACCAGACACATCAACTACATTAATATTACAATTATTATGTGGTGCATTTAGTGGAATATATGCATTAAGTCAAACATTATACAATATTTCTCATCCAGCAGAACGTTGTGATATGTTGTGACACCAAAGTGACAAAACTATAGGCATTTGATATGATTCTTGTAAATCAACTTTTACGTAATGGCCATTATGAACGAATGCGATAACAATAGATCTATGATGTGAGATGTTTTGCGGGCAATGTTAAAGGACCATATATGCAAATATACTTATATTAATTTGATTTGATCATAGGTATTCATTTACATCGCACTGAAATAAAGATAAGATATTTATTGTAAATGTAGTGTAAATTAAGGGACCATAAATGTAAATATAGTTATATTATTTTAATTTGATCGTATTGGTATTCATTTACACCGCACTGAAATAAAGAAAATGTATTTATTGTAAATGTAGGGGTAAGTTAAAAGACCATAAATGTAAATATAGTTATATTATTTTGATTTTGTCGTATTGGTATTCATTTACAAATAAAGATATGGTATTTATTGTAAATGTAGGGTAAATAAAAGGACTATAAATGTAAATATAGTTATATTATTTTGAGTTGACCGTATTGGTATTCATTTACACCGCACTGAAATAAAGAAAGTGTATTTATTGTAAATGTAGGGGTAAGTTAAAAGACCATAAATGTAAATATAGTTATATTATTTTGATTTTGTCGTATTTGTATTCATTTACACTGCACTGAAATAAAAATATGGTATTTATTGTAAATGTAGGGTAAATAAAAGGACTATAAATGTAAATATAGTTATATTATTTTGAGTTGATCCTAGTGGTATTCATTTACACCGCACTAAAATAAGGATAGTGTATTTATTGTAAATGTAGGATAACTTAAAGGACCATAAATGTAAATATAGTTATATTATTTTGATTTGATCGTAAATATTTTTAATTTTATAATAAAGACGTTTATATATAATATTCCGACGTATGTGTATGTTTGCCGTGCTAAACAAACTTAAAAACTTTTTAATAAATTATCTTTTGTATATTTATTCAAAACCCATCGGTTTTATCTAGTTATGTAATTACAAAAAAATATCATATTACGTGTGTTTATACTCAAAAGATGAAAAAGAAAATAATATATAATATATATATATATATATATATATATATATATATATATAAAGGAAAATGAAACATAATATAAAGAAGGAACATAAGTATAATGTTAATATAAAAGATGGAAAATAAAAGAGATAATCTTAATTAAGGAAAATGGAAACATCATTTCAATTTAGGTTAATATATCATATCAATTTGGATTTTACGTTTAGGTGGTTTTGATATTAATTAATGAGGTGGTTTTGACAAAACTTTTGGGTGTGATTAATAACACCCACAACAACAACAATTGAGCATTCCTTTCTACGAGTTTGTTCGGTTGACTTTTTTATATTGGGTTTCAGTGTTTTGATTTGTTTTTTATGTGATCAAGTGGCTACGTCTGATGCGATCAAATCGACATGATGGCTCTGCAGAAAGCAGTTTTTCAGTGCTTACGTGCACCACATGCTCAAGATTTTCTTCTGGCTATCCCTATAGATGGGTTTGACCAACATATGTCTCCTGTGGAGTATCGTACTATCCTCAAATATCGACTAATGATTCCAATTTCCCAGCTGACGAGATATGTCCGGTGTGTAGCAAGACATGTTTGGACTCTTTTGGAGATCATGTAGTTTAGTGTAAAGAACTCCCGGGGTTCAAATACAGGCACAATATGGCTAGAGATTTTTTGTTTGACATATTTAAGTGTGTCGGGGTTTCCGCTAGGAAAGAGGCTAGAAATACTAGATAATAGTAGAGGGGCATGTAGCCAAGTGGATCAAGGCAGTGGATTGTGAATCCACCATGCGCGGGTTTAATTCCCGTCGTTCGCCCAAATTTAATTTATTTTTTTTAATAAATTATTCGCTACAA